AGTATTTCTCGGCCATCCGGATCGGCTAAATAACCTTTCTGTCCATCCTTCAGTGATCAAAACTAGCTCCTAAACCGTTCAGCATTTTGTTCTCCAAAATTGATATTCCGATCGATTTGGCTGATAACGTGGCGTCTTACACTTTATACGGATATTTTAATTTTGTTGAGGGACTTTACACGAAACGTCGGGAACATTTTCAAATTTTCAAAATTATGGGTCAAAATTTGTCGAGTTTGATGTCAGATAGCGTAAAACGCTTAAGAGTCTCATTTTCGATTAAATTCCTGATTTTCCGAAAATTGTAAAAACTTTTTTCGGCGTCCTCTAGCAGCTAAAATATTGAAGATAGAACTATTTTCCTTAATGAAAGCAGTATTTTTTTTAAAGAAAAATCTTGAAATATAGTCATGAACAACTTTTCTAAAATTTGAGTCGTTTTCGCATAATTTTACGTGAAATGTAGAATTACAAAAAGAAATATAGAACAATTTTTTTATTTTTCTCACGTTGATAATTTTTATATTTCTGCCAATTTGTTCACATCAGTATATTGAGGAGTACATGTGCTTTCAATAATATCATATAAAGTTTCTGTAAAAACTAGTTCAAAATTCCGCATTTTCAGAAACGCTCACACGCCTTTTTTTAAATAGCTCCAAATTATTTCTTCCACTTTTTGAACGGGTAGTGCTAATTACACTCTTTAATATGACGTAAAGTTTATTTTGTTGTATTCTTTTGTTTTCTCAAAAATTACACAAATGTAATTTTTTTAAAGAACTTTCACGCCATGGATATGCACATTTCCGGAAAATTGTAAACACTATTGCATTTGTGAGTTAATGCGCTTCGCAAAATGACTTCTAATGAAGTTTCTCGAAAACTCAAAAATTTTCTGTTAAAAAGAACTTCAATTTTTTTTATTCACAGGGGCGCTGAAACGCCAGTTTTGTAAAAACGGCTCCAATTTGTTCCAAGAAAATTACCATTTAGGACAAGGTTTTACTGTTCTTTAATATTCTTAAAATAATATTTCCGTTTTACTATTAGGAAACCCGAAAAATTAAGAAAATTTGAAAAAATGTATTTTGGGCGGTGATAGATGGCATATAGCCAGAGTATGTGGCAATTTCAAATTACAATTTTTTTTACTTGTCTCTCACGTCGTTAATATTTATACAACCCTCCTCTATCCACCGTTTCACTCACTCATCACTATCGTAGCAGCGCACCCCGTTCGAGCCGCAGTGTCACGGAACGACAAACCCGCTTCCAAGAGACCGATCATTCTGCCCCGTTCGAACTTACTCAGATGCTGACATTGTGCCCCTCGGTGTCGACGAGGCATGCCGGCACTTGCTTGCACATTTCCACGTTGTTTGACGGTTCTGTTTGCCAATGACACGAATCTTCTTTTCAAAAAAGAAACAATAAATAGTACGATTTCAGGTATTTCAAATTGATTTTGTAATAACAATTTCAGTGCATATTTGCATTTCAAATCAGCAATCGCATGCTCCATTGAAAAGGAACAATGTGCAATTAGCTGATGTTAAGGTAACAAAATTTCTAGGTCTCTCAATTCAGTGAACCCTCAAATGGAATGTACATATAACAGATTAAACACTAAATTAAATTCATTATGTGACGCATTCAGAATTCTTTCAAATTCTGTCAGCCTTCATGCAGCTCGTTGCGAGTATTTTGCAAATGTGCATTCGCGCCTGAGATACGGCAATATTCTTGGGAAGCCCATCATGCCCAGATCTTTAGATTGCGAAATCAAATTATTCGAATAATGAAAAAATGTCGTCCGCGTGATCCCTGAAAGTCTCTCTTCATTGAGATTGTAATCTTACCATTTCCTTGCCTATTTATTTACGAATCTGTAATATTTGTCAAAAATGACTTACTTAACAGTGGGAGCATATTTTCATGCCATACTGATATTTATCACACAACACACGTCGTAGAAATCTCATTCATCAAGTGTTAGTATCAACAACTCACTACCAGAAATCCACATACAATACATGTACGTTACTTTACAACGCATTGCCAGATGACAATAAACAATTGAAGCCAGCACACAAATTTAAGTTAAAAGTGAAATATTTTTTGCTGCATAACTGTTTCTATACAATTACAGACTATATTGCACATCAAAAAGAAAAATAATATTTATTCTAACAAAACAATGATGTCTAATGCATTAATTTACATTTGTATTGTATAAAAATACATAATGTGCCTGTAACAGGTAATGTACTTCAGCTTCCCGATCAATAACCCCCATCTCGGTCAGGGTTTTGTCTAGTATCTCTGATACATCGAGCTTCTGCTGAGATGGCCCCTCTCTTTGCTTCTGAACATAAATGCAGCGTCACTATGCGCACGTTTCGTTGAACTCTCCTTGCTTGTAGAGGTAGTAGACGTAAGGGTGAGTTACTATTTTATTAGCAATGCAAAAAAATGAAACCTGCAGTTCGTTTACTATTGCAAAAAAGTTTTCTATAACTCGCGAACTAAAATATCTAGTTTTTTAAATGTTGCTAATCTCGCGCTTTTTTAAATTTTATTTTCATACATTTGATTAACTTTTACACATCATTCAGTTTCATATTTTAACTTTTACTCATCATTCAGATATTTATAGTGAAAATGACATAGGATATATAATGATAAAAGATTCTGGAACTCAAGAAAACGTGCGCAGATATCTTCTCCCCCATACGTCACATATAGTTTTTACTGTTTTTTGACTAAATAAATCTACACCTAAACCTATCTATACAAATTGAAATCGGGGGAGATGGCTCAGGGCATCAACTGATATCGTTGCAGTCCCTCTGGTCCTGGGTTCGAGTTCCAACGGTAGCGGGATTTTCGACACTAGCTTGTTAGCCAGATCGAGTTCAGTGGCTGTCTTGAAGAGAATTCTAGCGGCAGCTGATCAACACCAGGCGAATGGCGCAGTACTCTAACAAACGGGCCACGGACCGCACGCGATCGTTCCTACCTCTTCCCTGTCCTATCCCTACCCTAACACACACACTTACACTAACACGCCTTACACTACCACACATACCGGAGACCGGTCGGGGGCTTAGAGCTTGTCCCTGGTTGGGGAAAACTCGCCAACCGGCGCCAGGTCGGCGCCGGATCTCGACAAATTGCGGGGGAAAGATCACCGCCACCTCCCGAGCAAAAACGTGCACAACGTTTACGGGACTAATGACCCTGGCAGCTGACGTGCCCGCTAAAAAATCAATCAATGTAAACAAATTTAATACTTTTTTGGATATACTGTTCCACACATTTACCGATTTTTAACTCATTCCCACAAATTCCTTTTGGGATTTGCAATTTTCTCAAACACCAGTGAATGTATAAGCCACTAAGAATTTATGGACCTTCAAGACTGTATTTGTGTAAAAGCGAAGCATGAATATTACATAGCTCACAAAATCAACTGTTTACTCCTGGCACCATGGTTATCAAATTACATATGCTAGTTGAGCTGCAATAAATTACCCCAAATATTCATTAAAACTTAGGAAGCAAACAAGTTCGAACAAAATGGTTGACATCTTAAATGATAGTTTTTATAGGAATCCGTACTGACAGCAATTATTGACAGCAAACACGTTAATATTTTGTTACAAAATTGATTTTTTTAAAATATTTTACCTTTCATATCTCAAACTTCAAATGGGTATCTCTGATTTTCAAATAAAATCCCTTGATGTCTTTAAGTTTGGTTAGGGGAAGGGAAGATTTATTACATAAATATGTTATTAGGGATAACCAGAGCGGTTCCAAAACTTTTCTGTTTGTGTGAGTGCAGCGGGGGGGAGGCCGCAGGTACCGATTCCATATTTTCTTATAAAGAATTTTTCATTTATACTGAATATAAAATAGATTTGTTGACTTGTAGTTAAGGTTGTCTAAAAAATAGTTACGATATTCGTTGTAAAAGTAATTTTATTTTGCTCATAGGATTGCCACACTCATAAAGCTACATTTCCTACATGCAAAATAAAATGTCGCTTTTACAACACGTATTATTATCAACTATTTACAACATAAAAAATATACGTCGAGTAATACTATTAATTTAAATTTTTATTCGACCATGTATCATATTTTTAATAATTATAAATGTATTGAAAACTGTATTAATAATGTAGTGGTAGTATTAATAATGGGCCTCTGGAAAATTACAAACATTTTTGGGACTACTATCTTCATTTTCTAGAACTTTCGAAAGATTAGTGTAGGTAATATTTGTCTCGGGAATATGACAATTATATTAATAATAATAATAATAATAATGATAATAATAATAATAATAATAATAATAATAATAATAATAATAATAATAATAATGACAATAAATGTTTCAAAATTAATATTTAAAGTCAACCGTTCAAAAAAAGAATACCCTGGATGTAATTTTCGTGTGTGTCTCGGGGAGGGGGGGGGCTGAAATTCGTTTCGATGGACTTTTTCATATCCGGTGAATGAGCACATGGTCGTGGGTCCAAATCTTCTATTTAATTTTAGTATTATAACGCACTGTAACATCATCGTTCACATTAATATTTACTTGGAATCATTAACGAAATGAAATGGTTCTAACTTGGTAGATAAATGTGACCGAGAGAACAGATTTTTTAACGAAAATTTGTGAGAGGCATCTAAACAAACGGAAAGAAAGCAAATAACACCCGAAGTAACAAATGTAGCACGAAACACTAACATTAGCAACCGTACAATAAACCCCAAAACATACTAATTCTCTAGGAAACCCTTATGTGCACACAAAAACAGCCACTAACTCTCCCCCAAAAGTTGTGACATCACTGTGGACATTTCTAGAGACATATTACGTGGGTTTTTATAACTTGAGTGTCCATCTTCGTGATGAAACATCTCCCGGCATTTCGCGTCTTCTCGGTCTTGCCGCTAAATATCGTATGATCGCCAGCACTGCTCGGTAGGTCGCCGATCATGTTATAAAAATCCAGTGTGTGTGGTTAATTTAGTATAATATATAATATATATATATTATATATATAATATATTCTATATATATATATATATATATATATATATATATATATATATATTCTGAAAAATGTTCTTGCCCTTGAGCAAGTCATTTTTCACAAAATCACTTATTCGATTTGATGTTTCCTTCTTATATAAGTTCTTTAAGACCTAAAGTGTTTGCTTAATTTTTAAGTGCAAGGCGCATTTCGTAATTTTGAAGCACACGTTTCGTAGAACTCACTCCTGACATCTCGTGATCGGTGCCTGAACTAACTTACTGGTTCATGTGTTGAGAAATTTCCAGCAAATCTCCCAACAGCCCCTGTGGCCTAATGGATAAGGCATCGGTCTCCTAAACCGGGGATTGTGGGTTCGAGTCCGTAGCGTGACTTTTTGTAGAGTTGCATGTATTATTGTATGTGAAACTGAATCATTTTTGTGAAGAAAATGTAACAATGGCCTGGTCGACTAGTACTAGTATTAGTAGTAGAAGTATACAGCTGTCATAAAATTTTAAACTACCTGTTGATAATTAAGTTTTTTTATCACATAGGTCCTGGATTGGCATTTGTAACTTATCCAGAGGCAATCACAATGCTACCATGGCCTCATTTATGGGCATTTCTCTTTTTTGTAATGCTTTATTTATTGGGAATGGACAGCTGTGTAAGTATCTTAAGTACATAATACATAAATGTATATAATTGTAATAATAATGAATTAAATAAATGACAATATTTGTGTAATTTGTCATTCTTATTCTTGAAAATTTGAATATTAGAATTCTAGAAGATTACTGATTAGAATAAATTTGTAAATAAACATGTACTAGATTAGAAAAAAATTTGAAATATAAAATATTCTCATTTATGAATAATTTTTGTAATAACTTGATAAAAATGGGGGAAAAATTGTTTTGTTTTTTGCAGTTTGTTCAAATTGAAGCAATTATCTCAAGTGTAACAGATGAATTTATTATTCTTCGGAAGCACAAGAGGCTAGTTACTTTCTGCTCATGTTGTGCAATGTTCCTCGGGTCTCTTTCATGTGTCACCAATGTGAGTATAAATATTGTGGAAATGTTACACAAAATTGAATTTCATATTGATGAATTCTGAAATGAGGAAATCTGCTGATTCACAGGGTGGCATGTACATGCTACAGTTATTAGATTGGTACAGTGCATCCATTTCAGTTATCCTGATATGCATTGTTGAAGTTGTCATAGTGGGTTGGATATATGGTAAGACTTTCAAGTATCAGAATATATTTTTATTTTAAATTATTTGAGAAATATGAAAGAAAGAAATTGTTTTCCCACAGGTTGTGAAAATTTTGTCAGAGATGTTGAGTTTATGATTGGAAAGAAGGTTTCGCTATGGTGGAAATTATGCTGGAAATACATTACACCAATAATTTTAACGGTAATGATTATTCTAATTTTTATGTAGAAATCTGATTGACAAAGAGAGTTGAGCATGAACATGTATTTAAACTACTGTAGTAAATCTTGTTACATTTTTTATATATTGTATAAATATTAGGGTCTAACAATTTGAATTAATGGCCTTTGACAATTCAAATATTATATTCGGATAGCAATTTTTTTAAAGATACAGTTGTGTTTACACAAAAACCTCTCTCAAAATACTTTATTTGAAAGTAGTAGTGCACTAGGTAGGTGTGTCAAAACCATCTCATCTAATCAGGACATCATTTTGGAAACAAATTTTAGAAGAATGAGGAAAAACAGAAGAGAGCAATCCACACTAGTTGATGTGAAGGGCTTGGGGCAGTAAAAGAAAAACTACATCAGCCAGCCTCCTGTTGTTTTTTTTTGAAAATGTTAATATCTGATTGTGGTCAAGGTGTTTCATCTACTTATTATCCCAAGCCCTGCACTGATTCCAACAAGACATATAAAAAGATAAACCACACTTTTACCAAAATCAAGTTATTAACATTTATCAAAAGCAGGAAACTTGCTGTAGCTTGTGCAGCTTTTCTTGCTGCTCCATGCCCTTCATATCAATACTAATTTTCACAGCGATATCTATGAAAATAGAAAACTTTGGAAGAGTTTCAAAAGATTAGAATAAAAAAAGTAGAAAAATTAAGGTTAAAGAAATAAACAAATCGGTAGGAAGTCACTTTTAAGAATTAAGAAATAATGATGTTAACGCTGAAACATTCAGAGAAATGCCAAATATAAAAGTAAAAGATTCATAAAACTTAACCATTTGTTTATCCAAGAAATAATTGTTGTAAGTAATGACTTATATATTTACTCCAGAATTTTTCAATGCAGATCCAAATAAGGTTTGAAAAGTTCTCATCTATGTATCTGTAAATTTGTTAAGAAAACAATAAAATTTGTGATAAATAGGTCATTACTTGCCTAATATTTTAAAGACTAGGGGTTTTGTTTAGAATTATTTTTTTGTGATTTTTGTTTTAAATGAACGTTAGTTGGCCCTAGATTTGTCACCCCTTGTGCTTATTAACAAGTTTTTAGTATAAACACTAAATTTTAATAATATCATAAAATGAATGGAATGAATGCTTATCTGCCCACATTTGTCATTGCATCGTATTCAAGACTGACTAATAATAATATTAATATTTATTGAGTTACATATACAATTAGAATCGTGTATGACGAGTCAAATATGATATATATAGAGGGAACTACATTGTGTAGTTGGAATGTAATTGATCTTGGCCACTTTGTTATGGGAATTGCAATTGATCTCTTGAGAGCAGTGAATGTTTCAAGAGGCGAAATGAGTGAAAATATAGAACTTTTTGAGTTCAAAGATTGAGTTTTTTGAAAGGCAAAATTAGTGAGAGTATGTAAACAGAATGTCCAGCAATTTTTTGCACAGATTTCCCCTTACAATAAATTTTTTGTATTTATAATTATATGATTCATTATGTTTTTAAGTTAAGAAGTAGCAGAATTTCCTGCACTAGCACACTGCAACGTATATGTTGTTCTTGGTAAATATAAAATATTTCAATTATACATTTTCAGAAACAAGTTTTAACTTTATGTTTACAGTAAATCATGCTTGTAGTGATCCAGGCCTTGTAAACCACTATCATTTCATTAATCTTGGAGAATATGTACTGAACAACAAGAAACAATATTTTGAGGTTTTCAATTCTCCTTATATTAGTGTATATTTAGTACTTTCTATTGTAACTTTCCTACAATTCTTTTATGCAATGTAATTACAGGAGTTCAGCTAGTAATAATTAAATATGCTCGAGTTGAACTTACAATAAAACTGATTTTGCAATCCATTTTAAAGGGGCCTTGTTAGCTTTCTCCAAGAAATCTATTATTTTGAAATTATTTTTGATGATGTATTGTTCTTACTAATCCTTCATAGATGTTCTAATAAGTTTCAGATATGAACTTTACAAATTACATTTTTGTGGTTTTCAGTTCATCTTCATAACCTCAATTGCTTTTAATACTCCTGTTTCCTACAATAATATTCAATATCCAAAATGGGCAATTTCTCTGGGATGGATGTCAGCAGCTGCATCTATGGTGTGGATTCCAATTTACATTTTATACAAGATTAAAATTACACCTGGGACATGGAGAAAGGTCTGAGAAAAAAGATTTGTCATTACGAAAATTAAATTAAAATTGCCTACCCTTAACACTCTTCTTTTTTTTTTCTTCAGAAATTATTATCAAACTTACAACCTACTGAAGAATGGGGACCTGAATCACCTGAAAATAGAAGAGAATGGGAACTCCAAAAATCCAAGAAAAATACCAGTTAATGAGATCTTTTGGACACTTTTTCTTCTTTTCTTTGTTTCTTTCTTTCATTTGTTTACACATGAATTCAGTTTCGTCATTTTCTACAAGTATGTTTTCAAAGAATGTGTTGTAAATATTATATATTGTTTGTATATTTATATTGTATAAATAAAACACTGTATAATAATATTTTTCTGAAGCCAAAAGTAATATTATCTGAAAATTTTACAAAATTCTATTTATTATTATTCAAGAAAACTGTTACAATGAAAATTCATAGAATTAGAAAAACATAGAAGTTCAAAGAAATGTATGAATTGAATTGTGTAGTCATCGAAGGATTAACATATAGTTATTTATTTATTTGCTACTTGTAGGCAGCAATTATCTGAAGACACCCATTTCATTTATTTAGTTTTTTTCACGTCATGGGTTAGGCTACTACCTGTTCTGTCAGTGTCTCTCCATCTTGTAGGTCCTCATCTGGATTACTTCTTTATCTAACTCTTCTCCTTCGACCTGTCCAGCGAGGGAGGACATACCAGTAGCTATGTAACAGCCGGGATAGCTCAGGATTATGGGGTACTCAAGCTCCAACACCAACGACAAGATCATGTAATTCCTAGGTACTTCCTTTATTTATATATTTATTTTATTTATTAAGAAGACATACCCTTAGAAATACAAATAATTATTGCAAAGTAAACACGTCACATCAGTTACATGGCAAGAATGTATATAATAAAAATAGGATATGTGTATTTTCAACAAGGTAATAGAGCTTGTCAAGGCAAGAACTCGAAGAAATGAAACACCAAGCACATAACAATTAAAAAATAGACATTTTTATGAAACCTTGAATTAAATGGAAAATTAAAATGAAATTTATAAATTAACCAGTTTCCCAAGCTTTTAAATGTGCCCTCAACAATGGCGTAAGCATATCACTTAATATCAAATTAAAAATGGCATAAGAATATAAAATTATTTCAAATTTGTAGTTTGTTTTTCAATGCAAAATAGTTTCTATTACATGGGAGCAAACATTTCTGGGTACCAGATTTACTCTACAATGCTCGTTACTGACATTTTTTTATTAATTCAACTAATATTAGCAAAGAGATAGGGTTAGGTATAACAGGGCTCAAGAAACCCTGCGTGTATAAATACACCATTCCCTCAACCACCTCTCTAGATGCTCAGGGGGTTCCACAATTAGTACATCACCACCAGTGGCATAACGTTCAGGCCAGCAGTGCGGGTGGGGCTGGTCAAATGGGGCCCATTTTTAGAGGATATTTTCATTTTTTAAAGTATTGACACTACTTGTGTTTGCTATACACTTTCTTAAAGATTGCCTGGAAAAAAATTTTGCCGGTGGGCTGGCACACATTTCGTTACACTACTGATCACCACACCATGCAGATTGTAAGGGGTGGTGACGTTAGACGCTTAGCTCTATCATAGAGAAAAGGCAGTGAATGTTTCCTCTAGGACACTATAAATTAAGAAAAGAAGAGATATGTGCAAAGTTTATCTGGTCATGGAGGGTAGGGACTCCATTTAAAGGTTTTCAAATAATCCATAACTCATCTGTACAGGTTGGTTAGGGGCATCACAATCAGTACAATATTCACAATCAGTAGGGGAGCCATACTGCAATCCTGAAGGGTCACAAGAGATGAGGGTGTTTGGTGCTAAGCTCTTTATATATTAACGGAAAGTGGGTACAAAGTTTCCTGCCTTCTAGTTGTTTAACACAAAAATAATTTTGTGAATTCTTACTATTACACTTCTTTCATTTCTGAAAGGTTCACTTTTGCCCCTTTGCTACAGATGTTTTGGAAACAATTGATATATTCTCATAAACAATTTAGCAACATATGAACATGCACCCCACGCACACACTGCATTTATTTAATTATTTGAGATAATCCTCAAAGGGGGGTTGGAAGATACATAATGTTTTAAGTATAATTTTACCTTCAACATTTCTTCTCGAAATAAATTATTTTAAATGTAATCAAGACCATTTAGCAAAAAAATTGTTGCTTCAGAAATCATACAACTTTACTGATGAAGTTGGTTCAACCTTTGTTTATATGAATGGTTCATTAATATGCACTCTTGTAATCTGCTTTTGCAATTGTTTTATTTAACTACAAAATGAAAAAATATATTTACAAAGTTACTTTTCTGTAGCAAATATGAGATTGCTATAGTATGACAAAAGGGAGTCATTCTCTTCCATTCTTTTACCACAATCAAACTCTTTTGCTTTTGCATTGCCATCCTCCTTCGCTGTTCCAAAGGTTTGCTTGCTGTTTGATCAGGTTTCTTCATCTTCTCTTCTCCAGAAGTGATATGCAGCAGTGGACTGTAAATGGGCAGGAGTGGCATATCATTCCTCTGCATCCTTCCATAACTCTTTAATTCTTACCTGCACGAATGACAACCACATTTGAAACTGTGGGACTTGTCTGTAGCTAAAAGCTAATTATTGGAGGGTTGTCACAATCACTCAGAAATAAATTAAGGGATTAATTAAACATATAATACATATAATTGAACTAAGCTTCTTTAAGCACAGGAATATTTCCACATATTTTCAAAGCCGCTAAAATAAACCCACGTTTTAAAAAAGGGAAAGAAATGAAATTCAAAATTACCTGCCAATTTCTCTTTACCTAGACTTCTCGAAAATATTAGAGAGACTTTTCTTATCGCGAATGGACACTTTTCTCAGGAAAAACGAAGCGTTTTCAGACTCTCAACACGGTTTTTAAAAAAATCAAATTTTACGGAAACTGTCATTTTTTTTTTCTTTTCTTAAAGATGTTGCTTCATCAATGGACCAAAATGAAGCATCCATTGGAATATTTTTAGATCTTTCGAAAGCTTTCGATGGTTTGACCATAGCATTTTGCTATCAAAATTACCTTCTTATGGAATTCGTAGTATCGCCCTACATTGGATTACCTCGTGCCTTAAACATCGACCTTAAAGAGTAGAAATACCATGTTCTCTTCAAGAAAGAAACAATAAATGGTACGATTTCAGAAATTTCAAATTGGTTTTGTAATAACAAATTAATAGTTAACGAAGGAAAAAAGTTTCAATGCATTTTTCATTTCAAATCAGCAATCGCATGCTCCATTGAAAATAAAAACTATGCAATTAGCTGATGTTAAGGTAATGAAATTCCTATGTCTCTCAAGTTCGTCAAACCTCAAATGAAATGTACATATAACAGAATTATACTCAAAATTAAGTTCACTATGTTACGCATTCAGAATTCTTTCCAATTCTCTCAGCCTTCATGCAGCTTGTCTCGTCGCATGTATTATGCAAATGTGCTTTCCCGCCTGAGATATGGCATAATATTTTGGGGAAGCTCATCATCAGTGTTACCAGATGTGTTTAGAGGGATTCCGCCATGTTCGTTTCAGTTTCCGCCGAAAATCCGCT